AGGTTGGCTTCCAAGTTATAATTAGGATTGATACACCTGCTTTTCAAATATGGCTTGATATACAGTAAGCGAAGTAATATTGGGGTGGTGAAAAGTGGATACCTTTTTGTATAAAGGTACTGCAACCACTTTATACAGATTTGCCTTCAAGTTACAAAAAAGATTTGACACATCCATGCTTCAAGTGTGGTGAAAGTATCTTATAAGTGGAGTTTTTATTGGTTTCCTAAATGGGCCAGAACCTAACCTTGTACAATAAACCTATATTGTTGAAGAGGTAAGCAAGAAACTTTTGTTGTCATTACCAGCTCATATTGTGGGGTAACTAGAATTCCTGGTCATCTCATATTACTCTACTAAGTTTCCCAATCATCAGCATAACATTTGCAACTAACCTAACTTATTGCTAGTTGTATTGGCATTGGCTGCCATTTCATTCTAGATACTGTGAAGTGCAACTTCTTGGATACTTTCAGATAATAATAGTTGTACAGAGATTTCTTGGATGTATCTAGTCTAACCACTGATCAGTAAACAATATCTAATTTAATAATGATGGTTATATTGATCTTTTGGAAGGGGTAAGTCATTTGTTCTTTTTCTGAGAAACCATGAAAAAGAAAAAATTTCCTAAAGTTCACGTCCTAAGAAAAGTTACTGCTTCTTAATATAGTTCTTGAGAAAGGAGAGTCAACTGATCAGAAAAGTGATGTTATAGAGATGAAATTTTCAAAAGAGAGAGAGGCCTAGGGAGGAAAACCTTCATGGAAAAAGAAAAAACCTAGCTTCAGCAGGAAAGAAACAGGAAAAGAAGAAGAGAAAGGTAAAAAATAAAAAAAGAATATATAGAAAAAAGGGGAGAAGATAGAAAAAGGGAAATAAAGAGATATGGGAAGGGAGTATAGAAAAAAGGAAAAGGAAAAGATGAAAAAAAAAAATAGACAACTCAAAAATTTCCTAAAAAGGAAATTTTCAAGTGTAGAAAAGGAGTGAGAATGGGTTTTTTTTTTGAAAAGGTTTTTTCCATTTTTATTTTTTATTAAAATATTTCTTATTAATATACAAATACTTTTAAATATTCATATTTTTAATTTGGAGAACTCTATTTCATTTCCAAACACAAATTCTTTTTTCAACTTTGTTTATACTATACATGTATTCATATTTAATTCAGACATTTTTCAAAAACCATATTATGTTCATATTACTAAATAACAATTAGTAAGTAATAGAAAATTATATTTAATTTGAAATCATATTGTCAATCTTTTATAATAATAAGGAAGTTTATACCACTGGCTTGAAAAACCACTGGTATATACAAAAAACAAACTCTATTATTGTTCAATACACTTTACTATATCACAAAAAATCAAAAATTCTTGTTCAAAAAATTTTTTTCAAAAAACCATAATTAGTTTGTCCCTAGTAACTGATCAACATTTTATTCTCAATCAATTACATACTGTATTATTAAACATTCAAATATATTTATTATACTTATCAAAGATCAATATAAACAATATCAAAAATGGAAATCTGTTTAACCATATAACCTTTTTCTATCAATAAACATCAAAACAACAAATACATTTCATTAATTATTAGTTAAAAAATAACAACACAACTTTAATTTTATAAATTAACAACTACTACATCTAAACTCCTTATACTTAAACAATTATTCAACCAATCAACCACTATCATTATGCACTATCAACTATCAACTATCAAGAATATTTGTTATTATCACAATCATATATTTTGAACAGTAGCCTGACTAATTGAAAAAGTATATTCTTCAATATATTCAAACAGATTGGAACTACCAAAGTGGCATATCAAATAAGCATTTTTAATTATATAATCAGGTTTACTACCTTATATTCAAACAACTATTCAACTAATTAACTACTATAATTATGTACTAATAGCTATCAAGAAAACATGTTATCATTACTACTATATATTTTGAACAATAGTCTGATTAATCAAAAAAATATATTCTTTAATATATTCAAACAGAATAAAACTATCAAAATAGTATGCTAAATAGGAATTTTTAATCATATAACTAGTTTTATCACTTTTTTTACTTGTATAATATCAAATATAGAATTTTTTTTCCTTTTCCTTTTAATTTTTTTTCACTTTTTATTTTATTTATATCCAATCAAAAATTCTGAGTAAGTAAGCATAGCTGTTACTCAGTTATATTTAGCATATATAATATTGATTTAAAATTTCTTTTCAATATTAATTAAATATACAATAGATATGTAGGCATATTAGCATTTAACTTGTTATATGCTTTTTGCATCCAAGAGATATTGTTTTTTTCACTAGTGTATCTATCAATAGTATATAAATAAAGAAATGATGTTCATCTACTGGAAAAAAAAATATAATATAAAAAAGACTTTATTTGTTATAACAAAATATTATTTCTAATTTTTTTATTTTATTTTATTTTATTTTTTAATTTTCTTTACTATTATTATTCTTGTATTATATTATTATAGTTATTATTTTTATTTTTGTTAAACTATTTCTATTTATATTAAGATGACATATTTTATCTATTTAATATTATATTATACAATTCTTATTAAGTTAAAATAAACTATGGATTAATTAATAAGCAACTTGACAAATTAGAACAAAAGTTAAATTAAACTTTAAAATTATATTATCATTATAGTTTTATATATTGCTATAAATTATTAATTATTAATTATTAAAAATTAGAGTATGTAATATATCAAATTATATTATATAGTTGTACTTATATCATTTTTCCATTGACAATATATAGAAAAAAAAAGTTATAAAACAATTTTGTAATTTAAAGTAAATAATATAAATTTCAAATTTCAAATTTTTTTTTAAAAAATACAGGTGTATCTGTTTTATATTGCATTAAATATATATAAATAGATATTATTTTAATCAATATAATTATATTTTAAATAAAATTATATAAATATAAATAATATAGAGAAAACTTGAAGTAATATGAGAATTTAAGAATTCAATTTTTTAAATATATGTAGAAAGATTAGATTAAATTGAAGTAATAAAAATTAATTAAAAAAATGAATAAATAAATAAATCAAAATTTGTTAATTTCATATAAATCCATCAAGTCATTTATTTATTTGTTTACTTATAAATCATATCAAAACATAAATAAATAATTTATAAATCAAGAATTGAAAGATTGAAAAAATTTAAATAAAAAGCAAATATAGAAAAAAAATTTTATATATACTATGAAAGAACTTATTGATGATTTTAATATTGGATATAATCAATTTTATAAATAATTATAAATAAAAAATATATATGTGAAACTATGTTTAATTGTGATATTATTTTTAAATTTTATTGTGATTACAAATACATTAAAGTATATATTTATTTTATAGATATGATATGAGAATATTTTTTAGTTTTGTAGTTATAATCACACCATTTTTATTTATTTTAATTTATTTATATTTGTATATTTAATTTTAGATTTTAATATTATTATAAAAAAAATATAATAAAGTTGATATTGATTTGATATAGATATGATAATATTTTGTATTTTCAAGTTTACAATTACAAGATACAATTTTTATTGAAATTAATTTATCAATGTTTATGGAATATTATGATTTTAATTTATATTTGATGTTTATTATTATAAGCAATTATATAATTATTTGTACATATAACACCATTTTGTAATTTAAAATTTATGATGGTATTGATAATAGTTTACTTATTGATAAGATTGTGATTTGAAAAATAAATCAAGTGTAATTTTAGAATCAACAATTGGATATTGAAATTTTATATATCTATTTTTTATTCATATTTTTATTAGGATAAGCAATTGAATAAATATTTATATAGAATAATATATTGAATAATGACATTGGATAATTATTTCAATTTTATATAGCATCATATCATATATAATGTGTAATATGTTTATAATGGATTTGAATGTTTTGATATAAGATTTACAAGATTAATATAAGGTCATATATAATTGTTTGATATCAAATGATTTTTAAGATTTTAATTATGTATTTGATAATATAAAATAATTTTCATATAGCATTTATTATTATTATTTGTTTTATTTATAGGAATCAATTTGTTTTAATTTCATATAATAGTATTATTGTAAAAAAAATAATATACGATGATTTATGTTATATATAATATTTATCTAATTCGAAACTTGAATAAAATTTTTGATAAAAAAAAATAAATTATTATTATTATTTTCAATGTTTTGAGAAATTAATATACTGTATTTATTAATACACTTTGTTCGCAAATTATCATTTTTTTTTATAACGCGAAAAAAAAATCTTTATTTATTTTATGTTTTATATCTTTTTTTTTCATATTTGTACCAAAAAATTTATAATATAATGATATATTCTCCGGATATGTATATATACATATATATACAATAATATATATATGTGTGTTAATAGGTTTTTTTTAGAAAAAATATAAAATATGTTTAAATGATACTACATATGGTGTGTAAAAAAAATTTCGTTACGTATTTGAATAAAAACAGAAAAAAATAATACAAGAAATTGAGTTTCGTGAAGTACAAACGTAGTTTTTACAGCGTACTTAATATGTACAAGAATAAAACCATAACAAAAAAAAAAAAAAGTAATACACATACGATGTTTTTAAATAATCGTTAAAAAAAAGAATAGTGCAGAGAATAAAACATAACTTCTCTGCGGTCATTAACATAGAAGTTTACACACGCTACAAGTGATGAGGAATTAGAAAGGAATGGATGTTTGCAGGAGAGACAAGGAGAACCATTTAAATATCAAAGATTAACAAACTTCCGAAAGGGAAAAGGCCAGCCTCCCCTGAGGTAATTATTAGGTAGGGTAACGTCAGATCCACGCAATGACTTAACAAAAAATGACGAGACAAGCACACATCGCAACGCTTTCACGGAGACGTCATCAATAATTCTGAAATGAATTATACATCTCCTCCAATATTGGAGGATGATAATAGTTTGGCATCGCTGTTGGGGGTTGTGAGATTGGAGATGTTGACGTAGGAGACACGGAAACAATAACGTCACCGTGACGAGGGCTATTTGAACCGCCATTGTGACCGTCATTTGAACTCTCCACAGCGTTTGAGATTAAATTAACAGAAGTTGCGGTGTTATCACCGTACTTGGTTGGGCTCGACGGGTGAGCTACAGACGAGACCGGGGAATGCTGTTGCGAGTGCGGTGGTGATGAATTTTGTTGATTTGAAGACGGGGAAAATATTATTGGAGATTGTTCGGGAGCCTCCGTTGGGAATAAAAAAGTACTGGAAACAGTACCAACGGGATTCTGTATCAAAGGGCATGTTGCGTCCCAGGATCCGTTAAAAGTTGTGATGTTATGGGGAGCATTATGTGAAGGGTGTTGAAATTCTCCGATAATTGAGGATCCTGACATATTAAAAGTGGGATGAGGTTCTGTTGATATTGTTAGGGGTTGCGATACAGAAGGATCTCCTTGGACAGAAGTGTCAGCGACCGAGGAGGACGGTGTGTTCATTAAATTGTTGTTTGGATGAGGTGCAAAAACATTAGCATAAGGGGCGGGCACAGACGACGGGACGGTGGGTACGTTGGAAACTGATGATGACGGAACGGTCGGTACATTAGCAACGGATGAAGACAAATTCGACTGTTCCATTTTTATGGAGGTAGATTGTTTGTCATCGAGACGCACACGCTTTGCTGATGGAAGGTCATGTGACGGAAAATGTCTTGTATGCCCGCGACTGGCCTGAAGTAACTGGAGGTCTACTTGTTATTAAAAAAAAAAAGATAAGATAATAAGTAAAATAAAATAAAATAAAATTCAATAACTCATTATTAAAAACAGAAGTGTCATCATACCTTCCGGTGAGGAATTATAGGCTACCAATTGGGTCAGTTGTATCAGGTGATTATGATGTTTTTGCAAATCCTCGGTCAAACTTCGAACCTCGGGAAGCAAACGCTCATTAACAATATCATTCATATTCTTCAAATCCTTTCGTAAATTTTCAGTAGTCAGAGTCAATTCGGCAATTCGCTTGCGCATTGCATTATCACCATCAGACTTGTCTGCATGGGTTGCAAAATCCTTGGTTTCAGCAAAGGAAGTTAACAGACTGAGCGAGGGAGGATCTTTTAATATACTCCCGCTCTTACTATTTGCGTAGACAGAGGATGGGGAAGAGGCGAGATTCGTTTCTCCTTGATCCTGCGATATTAGAGGTTCAGAGGGTCGAGGCTTTCTTCTCGGAGTTTTTGCCACTTTGCGACGTATATTTGGTAATAAATCTTGCCGACCACGCCTGAATTGGGAATGAGAAAATACGCAGGCATGCTTGCTTCGGACGTGCTTTGACTTGCGTGCATCCGATACCCGATAAAAACCATAGATCTAGAAATGGAAAGAAGAGGTGATCTCAATAACTCTGATAAAATTGAACATGGCGAAAGAAAAAAGGTTAACTATTTACATTGAGTTGTCGGACGAAGGAAGTGAATTTGCAATGTTTAAAATATTTTGGCAGTACATTTTGCGCAAATTCGTCCATGTTGCAAATCACAAACACATCCCCTGTTTCATTCCACGTGAGATATTCCTTATACTCATCGCCATCTAATAATCTATGATCAAGTGAATCGTCTGTTACACACACACACATTTGAAAAATTTTTTCGAGTATAGCAAGAGACACCACCACTTACTGGTACAACTTTGCGACGAAGACTGATACCGTGTCGAGGTCGTACTTGCCCGATTCTTCGTGAAATAAACTATCTCCTTCTGTCATGTGAGAATTATCACCGAAAACTTCATAAGATAACATTTCGTTTGACTGAGAAGGCATTATATTCGTCGAAGTGTTACGAATGTTCTCATTCGCTGACATGACAAGTTTGTGTAACAATACTTTTCTTGTATCGTCCAAAAATTGCGAAAACGGTTTTTTTTATCGTGATCTTGGCGATCGTCAGCACGGAAAAAGATAGAGAAGAAAGTCGAAATGGCACGATATACACAGAAGAGAAGGAGATCGTAGCCAGGGTAAGAAAAAGGAGGAGAGGGTGGATAGACGTAGACGTGTGTGTAGATAATAAACGTAGAAACTATGTGTGTTTACTTGATTTTTTTTTTTTTGCGTGTATGGGTATAGATATATGAGTGTGTGAGTGAGTTTGTGTGTTTGGTCTACTCTGAATCGTCACTTTCTTAAGCTTGGCTAAAAATAAGTCTTAATTTTTTTTTTTTTTTTTTTTTCTTTCTTTTTTACAAATTTGAGAATAGAAGATTTCGTTTCAATAAGGGTAAAGAATATTTGTAAACGAAACACACAGACCACCACAGTTTGTACTTTTGTTTATGCAGCAGCAAACACGAAGGCGGTTGCAAATGAAGGCGAAGTAAGGGCAAGACATAAAAAAACCGGACACTTTTATATTTTTTCTAGAGAACTATTAATAGCTCTCCATAGTTCGTTGCGTGTATCGAAACCGAAGAGATGTGAGTGTGCGCGTATCTTAGCATGCTTTAGTAGCTGGGGACTTCATCCCTTACACAATACAATAAAAAAAATGGTGACCTTTTTTTTTGTAAATCATTGTAAATAACTGTTGTTTGCAATTTAAGGGGGTGACGGTAACATAACAAAAAAGGTTTTAATTAGGCAGTCTGGCACCGATAAAATAATTGTTATTTTGATACGCAACTTACGTACGCACGTATTTCAAAAGGATGTGAAGCAAAAAAATCAAGATAAATGTACATTCATTCCCTATCGACCATAAATTTAACCATCCACTTTCCCGCCTTCACCGGAAATGCAAGATTCCACGAGTTCCATTGCAACACTCACCAATCATTGGTGATGCGATAATCACGTATCACGTCTTGGAGAATGCGCGCAGTTAAAAAAAAGATCAAAATGAAGAAGCCAAGATAAATAAAATAAATAAAGTGAGAAGGATGATAATTGGTCTCTTTATTTATTTGACGCCTTTACACTTAGCAGCAAGATAATGCGAATTAAATGAATTTCCGTAAAAGTCATCCACTATTCCACAAATTATAAATGCATCATGTATAATACAGTATGTCTATTGTAACGCTTTTTACACCGAATGTCCAAACTAACTTCGGAGGTACATTAATAAAAAACAAGAAATTTCAAGGACAAACCGAAAACGTGGTGAAAATCCCGATCAAAATATGAAAAGAATTTTACGGAACTTGGTTAGATGGAGGTTTACCGACTGATATAAAATATCGGATATATGCATCTATATAACTGTATATGTGCTCGAGGAGATGACAAAGCGTTCACAATTCTTTGTTTCGCTCGTTCACCTGGTGCCCGTCGACCAATGCAAGAGGGTTCAATAAGTAGACAAAGAAAAAGGACGAGTGAAGTAACGGAGTTTTCTTTTTTTGAAGATGATGTATATGCTAGTTGATCTGTTGGCGACAGACTAGTGGAGATGATTTTTTTTAGGTCGATGCACGTTAAAGGAAATAATGCCTTACCTTAAAAAATGCACATCGAATGCGAGTAACCATTTGTTATAGCATAAATAACAAATGAAAAAGCATGTTGGCAACCTGTTGGCGCATTTACTTGAAAAAACTCCCGCAAACAATTGAAGAGTAAACAAAAACTAGGAAACGAGGTAACCGACGGTTAAATATAGTATGGAATTTCAGCCTTGAAATTTGTTTGCATTCAAATTTCCCTTTTTCCATTATATACGGCACATAATAATAATGTACAGTACCGCACATCGTATACAGTCGGTGTACAGTATTTTTACTACACAATGCGGGCAGGAAAATAATTACAAACGAACGCCCTAGGAGAATAGAGAATAGCATTTCGCCTATAATAAGCAATCGACTTGGAAATTGGAAATTTAGGTTGAGTCCCGTTTTTTCTCGAGATTCTCAAAAGTCAAATTAGACGTTTGGTCTTTTCTATAATTATCGTCTCTGATACGTGTGTATCAGTATTTTTTTAGACGTCAATTGGTATAAAAAAGATGTTGATTCAGGCAAATCCTTTTTTTTTTGAACAAAGTTCGACTCAACACACAAAAAAAAGACACATGACACTCCTACAATCTCCAAGACCAGGTATCATCATATAAGTAACATGTAAGCCGTACTTACATGCGAGTAGAAAATGGAACGGTATTGACGTGTCACTTCTCATCAGAGAGGTTCATATTTTAATGTAACACCGTTTAAAATAGTCCATAGTAGGAAAGAGAAGTCATAAAATACACAATGTGATCAGGTTACAGATATTTTTTTTATGGTTTGTTTTTTCTTTGGGCGGAGAATTAATGAAAAACTCCTTTAGACAGTTGGCGTTTCATATGACGGACCTGCTCCTATATGCCCTGATCAATGTTTTTCTCACAAAAGTACTTTTGAGTTATTGATGTTACCATCAAACTGTCTTCACATACTATGTGCTGTCATCCATCATTGACAATTGCAGGGAACAAATTTGGTCATCTAATTGCAATTAATATTGACGAAGTGCATTATTACACCACACCACAAACAAAAGGGGTTGACCTTTTTCCGTTTGGCTCATTGTCATCGCCATTCCCGGGGTTGATTTTTCTGGCGCTCATTTAGGTTCGACAGGGACGAGTTTCCGTAAAAGATTTTCTTTCTTCTTCTCTACTATTTTATTGTTTCTACTGTATCATCATACCGACCGTTATGTGAGTGATTGTTTGATTGTTTGTTTATTTCTCACTACAAATAATAACACAATCTAACTGTTGATGCCACCAAAAATTTTGCCATTGTTTTTCTATTTACTATAACTAGTAAATTGCAATTGATCTCCATATTAATGATTGATTGAAGGAACAACTCTTTCTTGGAAAGGCATCAATTTTCATCTGTCGACTCAAAGGAACCAATGAAATTTTTCACCTCGCTGTAATATATGTCCAGGAAAGTTGATTTCCATTCGGAGGTCAGTAATAAATATAAATTAAACGGAAAACCGGTTTACGACCGGTTAAAGCAACATTGTAGGAAAATCCGTGATAGGTTTTTATTACCTTCTCCGTGTGTACTTTATAAAAGTTCGGTGGATAGAATATTTCATTGAATAAGCATTTGCACTGTTGATGGAATTTCACGAATTTCACGTGTAACTGATATTTTCAACTCTTCTGAGGTACACTTTTCAAAAATTTTTCGTAGCAAGGATGGCACAAATTACGGAAGAGTATAAATAAAGTTCTTTGTTTCATCCCCGTATCCGTTTTACCTCTAACCCAATATGGGAACCATAATTTATTGTGTAATTCATTTCCATCCGATTCAATTAAAATGTGTGGTGCAAGTCTCAAATTTCAAAAAAATTTTGGAAAAGCGGAAATTTTTCATCTTTTCAGTGTAAATATTTACAGCAGAATCTACTTTTTAATTCTATTTTATCCTTCCCACCAGAGACGACGCATATACACATCAATCTTTAATATTCTTACGAGTGTAATTGAGTGTAATTGAGTGTAATTCTTCCTATATCAAAATTTGGAAAATCCGAATCATTCTCATTTCCTGATGAATTGATTTCAACAAACTGTACTTACAGTATACACTATCATTATGTGTCTGCACCTGATGTCCATTATTCACTTAAAAAAAACTTTGTCACAATTTTCCACTCATACATACAGCATCATATTTGTTGTTCCAATAACCAAATGACCTATTAAAATCCCTTACTCATGTACCGTCAGATACGTAATTACCGATTTGACTGCATATACAAATAGATACATGCAGCATGTAACAAGAAACATATTGCACATACTGTATTTGTTTCATTCAACTGTTTAATGAGTGTTCATTAAAATTGCCGTATATGAAATTTTCTAATTTTTACTGTACTTTCGGGATATACTGTATACCGTATACTGTACGCTGGTGTATACAATAGCAATTTTTAAAAAATATCCCAGTACACTACTTTTTATTTTATTTTTCCAAATCAAGCTTTTACCACTTGAAAATTTTCACGATAATTTTTTCATTTTCTTCAACAAATATCCTGCACGCATAAATACTGTATAAAAGAATTATGTAAAATACAAAAGATTCTTTATATCTCAATATCAATATGTAAGATACTGTATCTAATATATCTTGAGTATATTTGTACTGTATATGTTTTTTCAAATAAATTTGGTGTTTCAGGTAATAATGATTATTTTATAAAATTTATATTATTAATACCAATATAATTAATTATAACAATAAAAAATAAACTTAACTCACTTTGTTTTCATTTTTTAATTTTTTTAAAAGTTTTTTTTTTTTAAAACAATTAAATATAAATATAAAATTATTTTTTATACACAGTCTGAAACAAAAACAACGATTTTTTAAAAAATTTGATTTATTTTTTTTTTTTTTTAGATATACTGTATATATTTAATTAATAAAAAATTATAAATTATATTTTATAAGTTGATTTTTTCTAATTTAACTTAAACTTTTCTAAAATATTAAATAAAAAAATTACTTTTAATTATATAATAATATTATATATATATATGTAAAAATTTTAACAATTTAATTCAATTCAATTTTTAATTTTTTCAAATTCATATTAAATTTAATATATGGATTATAATTAAGGACTTTAAAGATTTAATTTGATTTGATTCTTAATTCTCAGATTTATATTAAATTTACTATGTGGATTATAATCCATCATCAATTTTAATAATGTTTCGAATTTTATATGAATTTATGCAGATCTGTTCAATTCAATTTTTGGAATTATAATTTTAACTCATCATTATTTTTAATAGTGTTTTAAACCTTATATAAATCTATACAAGTTTGTTTAATTTCAATTTTTAT